TTGAAACAAATTATATATCTACCAGTGAAAGTGGCAAAGAGTCCTGTGGCACCTTATAGACTAACAGACATACATGACATGCACCTGAAGAAGTGGGTATTCACCCACGAAAGCTTATGCTCCTATACGTCTGTTAGTCTATAAGGTGCCACAGGACTCTTTGCCGCTTTCACAGACCCAGACTAACACGGCTACCCCTCCGATACATATCTACCCGTGTTCTTCCCTGAGCCGAATTCAACCTCAGATGAACAGCATCTTCACACGTTGGATGTCAGGTGATGTTTAGCCTTTTACAGATAGAACTAAATGCTTCCTTTCTTCATCTCATCTGTTTCATATGTGAACCAAATGAAGGGGCAAGCGGTCTCTTCACAGATGATCTCAAGGTGGATAACTTTCTATATCATGACAGCATATGAAGCAGCTCAGATTGGGCCTCCACAAAGGGCCCGGGCAATGATGATGGCATTTCCAAGTGATGCTCCTATATTAGGAATTTGCAGAGCTGCCACTGGAGCCTGTGTACATATGTTTAAAACCACTATGCCAATAATGCTAAATCCAGATCAGATGAAACCTTTGAGAAGGTAATCCTGCACTCCTTGTTTAAACATATTCCAAGCCCCACCTCCTGCAAATACTGCTTGAGAGTCACCTACATGAAATTCATGGCTGTGACTACTTGAAGAAGGAATTACAGTTCAGGTAAGTAACTGTTTCCATTTTTCTAGATGTGATGCAGATGCGTATTCCACAACTCACCCTCTGCATCGGAGTCTGTACTCTTGATATTTGGAGCAAAGGAAATGAGGGAGGTTGGGGGTGCACCAACCTTATACAGCCACAGTAGAAGCTAGGGTCACAGGGCATGAGTGCTGCCCCTACATGTACAGCTAGTCAAAATTATTTGCTTTGGTGCTCGGGACCCACACGCACCTACATGGAATACATGGCTGCATCACATTTTGAAGAACAACAGTTACAGAACAGTAAGTAAGACTACGTCTACACTACCACGGTAAGGCGACCTACACTACACAACTCCAGCTATGTGAATAATGTAGCTGAGTGGACATACTTTAGGTCGAGTTACCACAGGGTCTACACCAGGGCAGCGGGGGTTGATGTCAGAAAGTCTCCTGTCAACTTACCTTACTCTTCTTGTAGAGTACAGGGGGTTGACTAGAGAGCACTCTATTGTTGATTTGGCAGGTCTTCACTAGACCCGCTAAATTGACAGCTGGTGGATTGATCCCGGCAGTAGTGTAGACATAGCCTAGCTGTTTTTTCCCATTGCAGCAACTATTCTGTGTGCATGATCTGTAGCTAGGTTTGGAAAATGGCAATTTTTAAACACAGGAAGTCATTCAGGTACACCATAATATACAAGCACGTTTGAAGGGGTGTCCAGGTAAGATTTCTGAGAAGCTCCTTAGCTAAAGCGTTTCAATGCTTTTTACACTAACAGATATAAGCAGTTACAGACTCATGTAACCCTGATTTCTCAGAATTCAGAAAAGCCTTTAATGAGAAAAGGCAATACAACGCAAGATAGATACCTTTAGTTCTTTTGCTCCACCAGAAGCAGCCGCCTGGGAAATATTCTGTAGTTGTTTAATGCGTTCACTGAAGTCAGACACCCACTGAATAACAGTCATGCCAGCAGGTACAGTGTAATGAGACCAGCTATGAGGCACAATACCTAGAGAAGACATATCCAAGGTAAGAGCTCTGTATGGGTATGAGTTGGATTACACACTATTTCCAAATGCAATTTTACCCTTTCAGTGACAGCCACTTCGCTATTACTGTGTTTTACAACAGATTTTTTTATACCACCAACCACAATGGGGTTCTAACCTAACTGGGACCAGAGAGTACAAGTGTAACACAAACTGAAAGACAAACAGAATTTCATGACATTATAGAAAGCTACCTAGTTTTCTAAAATGTGTTCTTCAGATGAATATTTAAACAGAAATTACTGTCTGAAGTACAACTTACTAACAAATCCTGGAAGACATTCATTAGTAAGTTCAACTGCATATACACATCAGGTCTCAAAATACATCACAGCTAATTTTACAATTAAGCCTTTTGCAACATGGAAGACACCAATTTTAAGGAAAGGAGTACTTGTGGCACCTTAGAGACTAACCAATTTATTTGAGCATGAGCTTTCGTGAGCTACAGCTCACTTCATCAGATGTATACCGTGGAAACTGCAGCAGACTTTCCACGGTATACATCTGATGAAGTGAGCTGTAGCTCACGAAAGCTCATGCTCAAATAAATTGGTTAGTCTCTAAGGTGCCACAAGTACTCCTTTTCTTTTTGCGAATACAGACTAACACGGCTGTTCCTCTGAAACCAATTTTAAGGAGTTACTGCACAGGTACCACCACCTTTATCCTTGGGTCACAAGGCAAAGAATATTTTATTAATTCAGTGTACAATAGTTCTGCTTAAATCGGTATCTCAACCACCAGCATATTCCACTGTATTGGTACAAAATGTCCCCTTTTCATCATACTGCCAAATGTATGAGCAGAGAAAATCAAGCCAGGGTAACTTTTGGAGTTCCTCTGATAATTCTGGTACAAGTGAGTGCTTAAAACTTAAGGTTTAGATGGAAACTGATTTACGGTCAATTAACACCAGGCTCCAACTGTTTGTTTCAAACTCAGCAAAATCTTATTTTTTGATACCAGTCTCAGTTTTAGTGCTGCCAACTCTCAATTCTTTTCCAAGTCACACAATATAGATGTCCTACTTAAATCTCCAGCTCCTGGACAGTAACATGAAAGTTTCATCTTTCATTTAAATAGTTTCTAGCTCCCACAGTTGCAGAACAAGGTTAAACACCACAATCCAAGTGAACCCCAAAGGCAAAAAACCTAGATTGACTTGAAAAAAAATAAATCAAATTTTTAAGCCAATCTCATGCTATTTGAATGCTTAGGTTGGCAATACTGCAGTTCATATATGTCACAGGACCAACCTCACCATTTTGAATTCAGAATTTTGTATTAGGCAAGAATAGTGTTTTTTCTTTCACCTGGTCAGTGCTGGAAATGAGAAGACATCAGCTGATGTAACAGGATTATTGGGAAAGCATTCTAAAAAGAGAAGCTTGTTTGAAGTAATATACCTTTCACCAATTCGTTTATAAGTGTACGCAAGTAGTTGGTCTGTTTCTTCTTGCCTTCACAAACCTGAAGCACATCGGCAAGATCCTGATGGACATTTTGAAGTAATTTGTCTCCCATTTTCACCTCTCTCTCAAAGAATCGGAACAACGGATCCTTATTTAAGCAAGAAAAAAACATGATGAGCATCTTCTGGTGGGAAAACTAACTTAGCCCTGCAACACTGAAGGGCACTAGTTGGCTGCCCAAATCCCACATACATTATCATCAGCTGTTAAGGTCTCACCGTAATGTGTTTTTTACAATGCAGTCACTTCCTCCACCCACCCCAAAGATGCAGCTGCCCCACAGATAGTAGTTTAAGGGAAGCGAAGCAAGTACTTCATTCCCTACTGACACCAACTGCAGGTGGGAACAACAGTGTGCAAGCTGCCTGCTGCAGTTTGGTCTGATTACTACAAATTCCTGTTCCTTTCTTTATCTACATCCAGAGCTCAAGTCCATAATATGATCTAAATAGAGAAGTTTAATATATAATCCACGTCTAAATCATTCAACAACCTAGAAACTGAGACTCTCCCTAAACTCTCTTGCTTGTAAAACAACCTGTCTCATACTAGCCCTCACAGCTTTATGGCTCCCTTTCATTATTAGTCTCCACTCCCAATTAGCAGAAGCCTCATTATTAGCTACCACCCATCTTTCCAGTGAGGACCGACCAGTGATACTACCTTTGAGCCAACATACACTCCTCAGTTCACTTGAGTGATCAGACATGTGATGTGTCTGATGCTGCACTTACAGCACCCCTGGCTCAGGAAGCAAGAGACTAGAAGTAAACTCTTCTAAATGATACCTTCCCAACCAAATGGAAGTGTTACTCTGTCATAATTTCTTTAACTGAATTACAGCAAAGAAAAGGAAACAATGTCTTGTTTCAAAGTCTGCTATACTACTTGGATCTAGAAAGACCTTTTTCAGGCTGCAATCTGAGTAGGATACCTCAGCCACATTTGCATAACCCCTACTCTTTTACAGACCAAAATATGTATATGGCAATCACCTTAATATTTTCCACTGTTCGTTTAAGAGGATTTAGAGTTTGTGGGATAAGATGGAACCAGTTGGAGGCTGTGGTGTGCAGTGTTTTCATCCAGGATGGATGACCATCTGAAGTTGAATCTGTTCTTGCCTTCTTCTCAGTTTCTGCATAAGCTAGATCATCCTCATCCTCTAGCATCTGCATTTTCAGCATTTTACTGATCATATCAATACCTGAACCAAAGAATAAAGGAAGCAAAGCCAAAAAAAAAAAAAAGTAAAGAAAAGTGTTGGGATATCAGTACAAGGAAAGTTTGAAAGAGGCATTAGTGGATTACATTTAACACTTCTGTGATTGCCACTTATTTAAAAATAATTCTTAAGTATATTATTAAACAAGAGTAACCTTCCTTAGGACTAGAACTAAAAGTCAGAGTCTCACTTGTGTAGTATCTTTCTGTCTACTGATGAAATTCTAAGCAAGTTACTTTAAACCTTAAGAATTCATAGACATTTATTCATTATTTTGTGGAGGCTGATATTGTTAATACACATTGAGATACACTAAATAGTAAAGTTACAAGTATCTCAAAAAGGTACTTGTGTCTCATCTATTTTGAGCATTAAAAAAAAAAGAGTGAAGTTTACATAACCTGTAAGCACACAAAGTCAAATACAAGTTTTACCCTGTGTGGTGAGAAGAACTTTTTCTGCATTGTTTGGTAAACCAAGCCAGGATGGGGTTTGTGTGTCTGGCAGCAACTCAACCCATTGGACAAATTCTTCACATCTGCAAGTGAAAGTTGTGGCAGTAAATTGAACTAAGTTAATTATCCATAATCTCACGCATTTTAATAGGTGACCAGGAATACATTGCCTGGCTAAATACCAATGCAAAAAATACAACTTAGAGTCCAGCTTCTCAGAAGGAAAGCAGGCTACTAGGGTGAGACCAACTGAAATTTGAGGTTGAAAAAATACCTGATTCCATCTGGCATTTGAATATCCTTACGTCCATCAACCTTGCAAGCCAGTTTGAATTCACTATCAAAGCTCAAAGTGGTAAACAAACGCTCCAGGAAAGTGTTTAGCAAACGCTGATCAAATTCATTATCAATGCGACCTCCATAAATGGACTGTGCCATCAATGTCTTCAGAGCAGACCATGGAATCTTGTCAGGTGAAATGTTTTGGCGGCCCTGACAGTAAAGACAATTTAATTAGAATGTGAAGATTCCCCAAAAAATAGGGAAATCGAGTTTGGACAGTTTGTTTGATTTTGGCTTTCATTAAATAGTTTGAAATTTTGTTTTGGATATTGCTTGCTTTCAGCTAATCTCATCAGTGTTTCAGATTAATTTGCCCTTCGTTGAACAGTAACCACAAGTAATCCAAATGTTACTCTGTATTTAAAAAAAGATGATGAAAGAGCAAAAAATTCTATTACCTTTGCTGTATCATCCAGCCATGTATCTATTGTGTCACAGGCAGATCTCAGATCAGATTCACCAAATTCATATTTCTTGGACCAGCCCAGGGGAGCATATCGCAAACGTTCTTGAATGATGGCATGGAACCAGGCAAGGAGGAAATATAAACGAGCACGTTCGTTTGGAGACTAGCATGGGGAAAAGAAAATGCATTATTTCTCCACAATAAAACCAAAGTGATCAGAATTTATTAAAAAAGAAACCTGGTTTGCTATAGTGCTGGTGAATGTCAAATGTTTAGTAAACACAGCATCTCCAAGTTTTAATGTATCAGATCACAAAAAGCTTAAAATATTGCTTCCTTACATGACATGCATGTTTTAGTCAGGGTAAAGTGAAAGCCTCTGAAAAGCTGGTTGCTTTACAGTAATATCAGAAGGCATAACATTAGTTTAATGTATGATAGACCAACTGAAAGCTATGAAGTTAAAAAGAAACTTTCATAAACAGTTTTCAGTTTCTGAGTTCCCATAACTATACAGAAACCATCGCCTCACCTTGCATATTCTAGAAACAGGAATACTACTGAATGTCCTCAGCATGTTCACCTTTACACCAGGAGGAGGTTCAAACACAAAGATCCGACCAGCACGTAGCAAATTCACCGGCACCTAGGACAGAAGAGCATCAACACAAGTTACACCCTGAGGAATGCTCTCTTCTATGAAGAATGTGATATTTGGAACAAGTTTGTTAACCTACACTAAGTTTTTTATTGTAACAGAGTATCCTCAGTCTTGCAATAAAATGCTGAAACTACCAGGACTATGGACTTACAACAAGAGAATCATATACTTTAACATGAATTATGTACTAAGGGCCAATTACTTTCTAATAAGAAATAGGAAAGGATGGGAAGATGTAGGCAGACTTTTCTTCCTGCGTAAGCAGGGAGACAGGATATTTACAAAGCATTTGACATTACTAGGAATAGTGTGAGCAATACCCTAGAAAGCACCAGGCAGGATTTTGGGGACATTTGTTCCTGCTCCTGCAGATGCATTCCAAAATGCACCCTTTCCCCTGTCAAACTAAGGCCATCATGGGGAATGCTGCCCTGGTTGGTAGGATTCTTGTAACAGTGGACACTGGAACAGCACTACACACCACTTGCTGTGCCAGTCGAAGCCGAACCTGGTTTCAGTTACCTTGGGATTTATCTCCATTGTAAGGAAAAGTCGGAAGCAAGCATGAGGTTGTAAGGAATGCAGCTTCTTCTCTAACTGCATCAACCAACCAGGAGCCAGATGGACATTCTTTAGCATCACCCACCTACAAGAATATATTAACAGAACAGTAACTAACCTGTTATTCACAGTTCTACTACATAAAAAGAAGGAGAGAACATACCTGCCAGATTTCACTGCTGTGTTTATTGCCTTATCTGCTTGATTAAATCCTTCAGCAGAGCCTACAAGCAAAAGTTTATGGTTAGCTCTAGAAACTTAATTGGCTTAAATTATGGTTATACGAGGTGGTAAGAAATAAGACAAACATGATAACTGCCTGGAACAATTTGCTTTTTTTAAATTAGTAAATGTTAATTTCACCATGTGCACACACAAAGATGAAAAAATATTTGAATCAATAATAAACATTTACAGACAGGCAAACAATAAAAATGCTGCTTGAAGACAGATTTAAGGATATTTACTTCGTATATTTTGACAAGTGATGTTGACAATTTGTGTTTATGATGATAAAGCTTTAACTTTTTGAATCCCAATGTCTGTCATTAAATAAAGTGTCTCCCCCATGATTTCCCTCCACTGAAAGTTTTAAACTGTTAAGTGTTCTTAAAAAACAATCAGTATCTGTCAAAAATTATAAAAAATGAAAATCAAGTTCTGCCAAACCTAACAATAATGTATTCTTACCTATAGCAATAGAGATAATCTGTGTGTTTTGTTCAGCTGCAAGATCTTCAACATGGCCACTGGCATCATAGCCAGGTACAGAACACATCAGTACAGGAGTATTAGGTTTCACCTACAATCCAAGACGTTTAAACAAAACATTCACAATTATCATAAGAGTAAGCCATATTGATAATTATGCATCTCCCCCAGATCTGCATGGGGAAAATAAATTCCCTTCATCCCTTATGCTACTGTAATAAACTGTTCAGCATAGCTTGTAAGTTGCGTTATATTGCAATACCGGTGAGTTGCATCATACATGCGTTTAACTTATGCAAATTCAACTATACACACTCAGCAAAAAAAAAAAGAAAAATAACAAGATACCTGTAAATAGTGTGGGCGATTCCGCCCACCATTCCACTCAATGAGCGTATGCCCTGGAGTGAGCATGAGATGGGAGACGTGAATCTGCTGGTCCCTCAGTTGGTCTCAGTTCCAGCGTGCCTCTCATAAGGTGAGCATCTCGCCGCGCTGAGAGTGATTTTAGTGTTTAAAGATACTGTACCTATTTTTCATACAACATGACCCCTTAACGCAAACCAACTACTTCATCTGGTGCTCAACTGAAGAAACAGCGATCTGTTCCAACGCTGGAGGAAAAACTGGCTGTGTTGCACTTATTGAGAGATGATATGTTGGTCTCCAACGTGGCGCGTAAATATGGCCGCAACGAATCTAGCATCTGTGCCATCAAGATTCGAGAGAGAGAAATTTGTCAAGCCGTGGCATCAAATGCTCCGATAACTTCTAACGTGACGAGCCAGGTGCGTGATAAGACTTTAGTGAAGACTGAAAAAGCATTAAACTTATGGCTGAAAGACATGAACTGTAAATGTGTGCCTATCGATGGCAACACGTTGCGAGAAAAGGCTCTTAGCCTCTATGCACTGTTCAAACCTCCCTCTGAAGAGGGACAGCCTTCTGATGAGAAGGAATTCAAAGCCAGCCAAGGTTGGCTTAACAGTTTTAGAAACCGCTTCAACCTCAAAAATGTGCAGACTACTGGTGAAGCTGCATTTGCCAATGAAGAGGCAGCAAAAGCCTACCCCAAACAATTAAAGAAAATCATAGAAGAAAACGGCTACCTTCCAGAACAAGATTTTAATGCTGACAAGACTGGGCTCGTCTGGAAAAAAATGCCCAACCGCACTTACACTTTGAAATCAGAAAGACAAGCCCCTGGCTTCAAAGCAGCTAAAGACAGTGTGACTGTGTTGTTTTGTGGCAATGCAGCTGGGCATTTAATAAAGCCGGGCTTGCTCTACAGAGCTGCAAATCCCCATGCCCTAAAAGGCAAGAACAAAAATCTCCTGTCCGTGTTCTGGAAAATCAAATAAAAATAAAAATCAAATAAAAAAGAAAGGCTTGGGTGACGGCAGCATTATTTCTGGATTGGTTCCACAAGTGTTTTATTCCAGAGGTCAAGCGGTACCTCGAAGAGAAAGGACTTGACTTTAAAGTGTTGCTGATCGTAGACAATGCTCCTGGCCACCCTGCGGCACTCTGGTTTGCACATAATGACGTTGAAATCGTCTTTCTCCCCCCCCAATACCACCTCCATTCTTCAAACTCTCGACCTAGGCGTGATTCACTGTTTCAAGGCCACATACACGAGGCTTACGTTCTCACGGATACGTAGCACTATGGATGCTGATCCCAATTTTAATGTGATGGAGTGTTGGAAGTCCTTCAACATTGCTGATTGCATAACTTATATTAAACAGGCAGTGGATGCAATCAAGCCTGAAACAGTCAATGCATATTGGCGAAACCTATGGAAAGACTGTGTGAATGATTTTAGGGGTTTCCTGACCATTGACAAAGAAGTGGAACTCATTGTTCATGTGGCCAGGCAAGTGGGTGGTGATGGCTTCGTCGACATCCTTGAGGAAGAAATTGAAGAATTAATTGAGAGCCATAGAGAAACACTGACTAACGAAGAGTTAGAAGAACTGATAAAATCATCTACAGAAGACGAAGATGATGACGATGAACAGGAAGAGCCAGCAAGTTGGAATCCTCATAATTTGCTGAAGTGTTCCAAGCAGCGAAACACTTGAATGATTTAATTTCTGAATACGATCCCTCTATGGAACGAAGCCTCAAAATCACACGTAGTATTACGGACGATTTGAGACCATATTAAGAAATGTTTGAGCGGCTCAAGAGACAACAGCGACAGTTGCCAATCACCATGTTTTTCAAGGAAAAACAACCAGCAGTAGATGAGCCTACACAATCAACTTCTTCAGCTGAACCAGAGCCAACCACTTCGTCTTCGACTTGCTCTCCGTCACCCAAGCTCTCTGTCACCTCCGTCTCCTGGATCGACATCAAGCCCTGACAACCCCCTGTATTAACCCCCCCTGCAATTACCCCCTGTAATTAAAAATACAGTACTGTAAAATTATATTTTGCATATGTACTCTTTATTCTATACTGTCCATTACTGTATACATTATACATTTACACATATTACTGTACAGGGTTGTATACACAAAACCATGTACAGTATACTGTACTTTATGGGCGATTTAAGGGATTTTCAAGGGTAATTTTGAATATACGTGATTTTTGCCTTACGAGCTGACTTTAGAACCTAACCCCTGCATAAGATGCAACTCCACTGTAGTTTTAGCTAAAAAGGATCCTAGGAATACTGTTCTCTCAGTGCTGAAGCCTATAACGGACACCCATCACCACAAATTGAGGCAGAGCAGTCTGATGGGCCACCACCAACAGAAATGTATGCCCTCAATACGATGACATATTTTAAAGAAAAGTATTTTCATTCCTATAATTTACCTCAGTATCTACAATGTGTGTCAGATCTAATGGCTTCTCCATAATAGACATAAAGGATTCACCAAGATTTGCTGAAACAAAGGCAAGTGCCATGGCCAGCAGACGATCTGGACGGAATGCCTGGATCAAGAGTAAACGATGAATGGCCTGCCCAATAGGTGCTAAAATGAGAAAAGAAGACAGTATGTGTTATTGTTCCTGATGCTTAACAGGTCATAACTCAACATTTTGATCTTTCCTTCCCAATTCTTGAACGGTGTTAATCAAATAATGGAGAAGAAAGAAAAGACTTAGCAAAACAACTACAGCTTTTAAAGACTGAGATACAAGCTGCTAAATGCAGTGCTCTAGATTGAAATTCACATAATGGTAATTGCTGTTAATCAATCTGACAACCAAAACAACCTTCTTAGGACAGAGTTAATCTTAAACTGACCTAGGCATATTTATCAATGTGACCATTAGGCTTACACACAGTACTCTTTTCAGGTTGTGAGCTCTAGTTCTAGTACAACAGTACCCTAATTTGATTAGGGCCTTTGGATGCTTCCGCAATGAGTTCATATACAGAATCTAAAGCCTATACAAGTGTTGTCATGAAGTCTCTAGGGATTTCAGAAAAAACAACAACAACCCCAAAAAACACGCTTTCCTGCAGCATCTGCAACTAAAGTGTTGCAATATTGTGAAATGCATAACACATGAAGAAGGCTAGACTATTAAGGCAAATAACTAAGCTGTTGTTTGTAACAGAAAACTTTTAGCTTGACAGTATCCCTTGTTAAGATTTTGTCCAGATCTACGGACTGTTTACCTATCATTTGAAACCTATATGCTCCAGTGATAAAAGCACCATGGGAAACTAGTGTTTATCTTATGCAAATTCTGATCCCATAGCCAAAGAGTTTTACAGCAGCTACTAAGAGTGAGCTTAAAATCCTCCCTTTAGAAAAAAAATGTTGGTTAGTAACAATTTATAGCAATTAGACAGCTGTGTCAAAGAAATGCTCATGATAAATAGCCTATTTCAAACAAATTTTGCATGCAAGTGCTGTCCCATGTGATCTTACAGATGGGAAAGATTAAGCAAAAGAGTGGCAGTTTTCTTTTAAGTTTTCACCAATCCAGAGCTTTAGTTTCTTTCTAGCCACCTATAAATATCTACACTTCGCATGAACTGTCTTAGTTTCAGTTAATACAGAAGTTGAGGCGGGGGCGGGGGGGGGGTGGCAGGGTGGGGGGAGAGGTAGCAATAGTTCTAGTAAGAGACCAGGCAAGGTCAGGAAACTTGTAACAAGAGAGCCTTTTACAGAGTACTGTTACAGAGCACTGAGTTAGACCAGGCTGGCAATGACAAAAAGGCACAGATGCCAATTCAACAGTCTGTGTACAGTGGACTGTAGGATAGTTTGTTCCTGTTGTGGGACACCACACTGACTATACTGGAACCAATTTTAACAGTGTTTTGAAGACACTATTTGAATGTGCCTCTTTTATTTACATTTGCAAGGAAACTGCACTCATGTAAACATTCTGATACCAAGTAACTGACACCTTTTTGTGGTCAGTCTGAGGGGGATATTAAGACAATGCCCCATCCTGGGGCAAAGACCCCATGGTAGGGTAGAGCCAGGGACAGGCTGCACAGTCATTACTCATGCTGCAATTGTTTTGTGGATTGAAAACTTCCATTTTCAGACCTATCATATGTGCAGTTTTCATAAGTGCTAAGTTCTAAGACTTTAATGAAGGTCTATTCTATTCAAGACTTAAACTGGTAACAAGGCAATTGCCAGGGTAAGAGTGCAACTGATCTTACTTGCAGGTTTTTCTTCAGACCAAATGTATGGCACAGTCTGCTCTGGTGAACTGCTCTCCAACCAGATACAGAATTGCTGTATTGAAAGAAATATTAATTATGAAGCATTGTACATGACAGTTAGGATTCCATTCCAGCTGTAAGATCTTTGATACGGGGACTTTCTATACACTTATCGATACAGAGCCTACCATTATAAGGTCTTGATACTGATGGGGGTGTTTACTGCAGCAAAAACCCCAACCAAAACTAAAAACATATACTGCATTTTACTGAAGATACTGGATAGTCGGCTTGAGTAAAATAAAACCCAATGCTTGAAACTATATACTAGTTTCTACAGAGAGGGGGAGACTGATCCACGGGGTTATGGCACTAGCTTGGGAAAACCCAGCTTAGAATCCCTGCTCAAAGTCTTCCTGTGTAAACTTGGCAAGCCACTTAGTCTGTGGCTCAGTTCCCAATTGTAAAATGGGAACAGTACTTCCATACCTCATAGGGGTGTTGTGAGGTTAGCTACACGGTGAGGCACTCATATTATAGCAATGGGGGCCATGCAAGTACCCAACATAGGTCTAACCTAAATTTAGTGCAGTGACAGTGCTTAACCAGGATACTTGCCTCATCAGCTTGAACCTTAGAAACCAGGTCCTTAAACTCAGGAAGGCAGCTCAATCTCATCATAGCTTCCATTTGTTCAGTTGTAAGTCCACTGATCTTTGGGAGAGATGCTGTGCTGAGTACAATTTCTTTTCCTCTTAAGAAATGTTGGAATTCTGCATCATATGTAGGCTCCCTTAAATTAAAAGTAGAGTAGATTTTAGCCAAGTATCTGTCTTCAGCTGAAGTAGTGGTTAACTTTAAGGCACCAAACACAAAGCTTTCATGTATGTACATGGAAAAACTGAGATGCATCTCAAAAAGCAAAGATTCAAATATTTACCCAATTGTGCCTTTAAGTTTAATTCTGGCCAACAGCATAGCAAAGGTTATGTGATCCTGATGTAGCATGCCACGAGCTACTCTATTGAAAGCCACCTAGCGAAACAAAATGTAACAGCTTAGTTGTATTATAAAGAGTCTTAATCAGATTTCCACAGGACAAGACCCTTTGCTAAGTACAATGTCAATGAAAATTCTATACTGAACCTGGAAGAGGTCTTTTGTGATGATTGAGAGACGCTGGGTATGGTCTGTAATTCCCTTCAAATTTGGGTTCTCGTACAAGACATTATGATAGATATCCAAGAAAAATTGGAGAGAATACTGGTATAAGAAGTGTATCTAAAGAGTAAAAAAAAAAAAAAAGAGTTTAGAACTTAACGGCCCTACTGTTTGTTAAACGCTGAGGTTATTGCAATTCGTGACGTATTTCTGTAGTCATAACGGGAATTTAAACAGTACAGCATAACTTTGGAAAAATGTTAGAGTACTGAATATTTCTGGTGAGAAAAAGGGATTAAATTTGATTCTTTATCTAACCTGTTTCAGTGACTCCATTGTGAAGTAGATACTACTGCATGCTGTAGAAAGTGGCAGATACTGCTGAGATACAGTCTCCACCTCTTGCATGACAATATCAGTCTCTTCTACTTTTCTGGTGACCTCTGCTGCTTCCTTCTTTAGGTTCTCCAAAGTAGTTATGATTGTGTCATCATCTAAAATACGTCCCTTCACTTCATTGAGAGCTTGTAGCAGAGATTTTTCTAAATGCCGCAAACGCAGCTGGAATTCACCTTAAGTAAAACAAATTGAGATCTGCGATCACATGCATTGCATATAACCTATAGAAACATTTTATTCTATGCAGCTTGTCATATCTCCTATATGCTATGAAAGAGGAGTTACTCACCTTGTGCAGTAATGATGGTTCTTCAAGATGTGTGTCCCTATGGGTGCATCACTTTAGGAGTCTGTGTGCCCCTACACCTCTAATCGGAGATTTTTGGTAGCAGTGTCCTGTTGAGCCCGCTTATGTGCTCTCCCTCCTTCGTGGTCTGCCTCAATGCTCTTTAACACTGCACAGGCAAACCCCCCTCATTTCCTTCTCTACCACAGAGCCCTATAAAGAACTCCGAAGTAGAGGGGAGGAGGGCGAGTTATGGAGCACCCATAGGGACACACATCTCAAAGAACCCATTGTTACTGCACAAGGTGAGTAACTTCCTCTTCTTCTTTGAGTAGCATCCCTATGAGTGCTTCACTGTAGGTGACTCCCGAGCAGTACCCAACACTGGAGGCTGGGACTTCGGAGTGGAGTCTTTTACTACAGAGAGTATTGTGGAGACAAAGATGGTGTCAGCAGCCAAATCTTCAGTGATCACAAAATGTTCATAATGTTCTCAGTATGGGCAGAGGCCCAAGTCGTTGCTCTATGGATTGCTGAGACAGGGGTATTCCTACGGAATGTGACTAAGGTAGAAACTGATCTCGTGGAGTGCGTATGTACTCTGAGTGGGAGCAAGTTGCAGCCTTGATAAGTGATTAATTCAACTAGAGACCCATTTGGATAGTTTTTGAGGCGGTATCACAGAGCTTTTGGATCTTTCTGTGGACAAAAGGAAGAGTTTAGGGGATTTCCTGAAGTCCCTAGTCCTGTCCAAGTAGAATGCTAATGTCCTTCTAATATCTAGCATGTGCACAATTGTCTCTCAGTTGTCACAATGTGGTTTTGGGAAAAAAACAGGGAGATAGATCTGTTGATTCATATGGAAAGTGCAGAAAAAGTAGGGAGAAACTTGGGATATGGCCTTAGAGTTACTTTGTCTTTAAAAAAAAAAAAAGGGCTGTGAATGATGGATGTGCCATCAGGGCCGCTATTTCTCCTATATGCCTAGCTGAGGTGATGGCAATTAGAAATGCTGTCTTCATGGACAGGTGTAAGAGAGAACAAGTTGCCCTGGACTCAGAGGGAGGTCTAGTCAAAGCCCTGAGAACAAGGTTAAAGTTCCAGGCTAGAGCGGGTGGTGTCATATGGGGGAAGAGATTCCAAATGCCCTTAAAGAATCTATGCATTAGTGGGTGAGCAAACACCAAGTGGGAAGCTGTTTTTGCCACAAGATGTACCTTAAGGGAGCTAAGTGAGAGTTTAAAATGTAGTGCAAAATCAGAGGGAGGAAAGATGAAGTTGGGTCTGTGTATTTGGAATGACACAAACTTGGAGTCATTTCCATTTTGTAGATAAGTATGTCGAGTGGTCAACTTGTGGTTGTGTTGCAACATGTCTTTCAGTTTGTCAGAGCATTCCGCCTCTCAGCCTTGGTACTAAGAAGGACCCAAGCTTGGAGGCAGAAGACCTGCAGGTTGGGGTGAAGCCCATTGTTTTGAGAGAGTGGGTGAGGAATGGGCTGAAGAGAAACAGGAGGGCATATTGCCATCTGTGTCAGGTAAGGGAGCCAGACTTGTCATGGTCAAGAGGGGCAATCAGAAGAACTCTCACTTTGTTTTGTTGAATTTTCAACAGAATCTTGGATAGAGTAGGAAACTGGGAAAATACATAAAGTGGGCCCTGTCCCATGGGAAGATGAGGGCAACTGCCAGTGAATGTTTCCCCAGGCCGGCCCTGGAGCAGTAACAAGGACCTTTCTTGTTCTGTTAAGTAGCAAAGAGATCCATAGGCAGGGTTCCCCAAAGGGTGGCTATATCTTGAAGCACCTCTGAATTCAGTACACACTCATTGTCGTGAGAAAATTCCAACTGAGACTGTTGGTTGTCACGTTCTGTATCCCTGGTAGATAGACAGCTGAGATGAGCACATTGTGATGGGTGCATCAGTTCCAAAGTTTGAGTGCTGTCTTGTAGAGGCGAGGGAGATCTGGCAGCTCCTTGATGGTTTATACAAAACATACAGGTCACATTAAGTCCATCATGAACTTTGTGTGTTGTTTTTGATGAAAGGCTGAGAGTGTGCACAGGCACTCCTGACAGCCCTTAGCCCCAAAAGAGTGATATGGAAGGTCATTTCTGTGGAAGGCCATTTGTTCTGCACCTCATTGTTGTACAGGTGAGCTCCACAGTGTATTAGGGAGAAGTGTCCCAGGTTGGTGACTGTGGGTAGTGAGAGGAGTACGCTTGCTTGTACTGCAGCAGGTTGGTGCTGATAAAGTCCAGTCACTGTACCAGGGCTAGTATGCCACTACAATGGAGAATACCCTGTGTGGAGCAGTCTGTACTGATAATGATCCTGCCCCAAAGGTAAGCAGTAGGAAATCTCCTGTACGACGGTTGTATTGAGATATGGAAGTAGGCACCCTGTAGGTTCAGGGCTAGAAATCAATCTCTTTGCTCTAGAGCTGATCCTAACTGCTGTGAAGTAGGTGAGAGGCGTGACAGGTGTATAGATGGCAGCTGATGCTGTAAGGTATCATTGTTCAGGCCCTTGACCAGCTCATCAAAAGTGCTTATAAGAGGCAGTTTGAGAGGTCACGGACTGGGGTGCAGACTGCTCCCACTTTTGGGCCCTGGGCCTCTTATACTGTGGCTCATTACAGCACTGAGATGGTGGGTATTGAGAAGATTGTGACCTGTGGTGTGGTATATCTTCTCTTCTGTCCCACAGTGTAGATTCCTAAGGAGAGTAACATGGTCCGAGAATCCTTCAGGATGTGGAGACAAAATCTGTCTTCTCCGCAAAGAGTTGGGCCCTTCAAACTGGAAGTCTGTAGCTCTTTGGGCAATCTTGAGAGGTGTAGCCAACAAAAAAACCAAACAAACCACAACCTGCCTCAACACCACTGTCATGGAGACTGGGCAGGCAGCTGTAACAGCTACATCCAGTGGTGTCTCTAGGACCAGTCTGCCTATTAACTGACTGTCTCTAAGAATGGTCTGAATCTGTTCTTTTTGTGTTTCCAGTAATGTTCCAGAAACAGACTGGGTTTCCCATAAGTAATAAAATTGTATTTGCCCATGACAGTTTGGTAATTTATGACTCTAAACAGTAATGTTGTTGATGAATAGGCCATCTTGCCAAGCCTGATCGGATGGAATTGACTTGGCATTATGTTGCTTGCTTCGTGCATTAACAACATCCACTATGATGGAGTTGGGTTGCAGATGTTGAAAACAAAGTCTGCCTCTTTGGGTAGAGATGTAGGGTTGTTTTTGTTTACACTCGGTTGCAGGTCGGTGCGATGGAGGCTGGTGTCTGCCAGATGACTTTGGTAGGATCTAGAATGGCCTCATTAATTGGGAGGACAATTCTAGATGAGAAGGTGGTGTGCAGAATTTCCACCAACTTGTGATGTGTATCTGCCACCTCCTGTAGGGGAATCTGCAGTTCGTCTGCCACCCTCTTGGTAAGATCCAGAACGTTCTTAAAATCTTCACCTAGTGATGAGGGTTGGGCAGCACAGCTTCATCTCGGAGAGATGAGAAGTGTGCTGGAGGGGTAGCTGCCTATTTGGGTTCTTTTTTCCTGTTCTGAAAAAGCTTTCTCCTGCCCTGGCTCAGGTGCTATGGACAGCCAGGTTGTAGCAAACCATCTGGTGGACTCTCCCTGAGAGACAACAGAGACGGTCGCAACATGTGTGTGTACATAGCCAAAGAGTTATAATATGGCCTTGGCGGGGGAGAGGGAGGAAGGTGGGCATGGGCGGTGGGCTTACCTCAGGGGGCCCGTACCTCGATTGTAGGTTGGTGTGATGGGATTGGGGAGGACCCTTGTAGTGTGATGGTGGGCCACGACGAGGGGCCAGGGAATGATCTCCTCCTGGCCAGTGTCAGATTCGCCAGTGGGTAAGGGTGCAGCTGACTAGGGTATTGGCAGTATACAGCCCGGTGCCAAGAGTGATTCTGAGTGCTGGGATGTGCTCGATACCGGGGTCCTGGCACCAACTGATGGGGATTGTGGTTCTTTCCCAATCATCAGGTCTCCAGGGTACCAGAGCTTAGGCAGTACCATGGGTTCATTTGGTACCACAGAGGAGTGTCCGTGGTACGTTGTCAGTATCGATAGTTGGGCAGAGCATTCCCTAAATGAGAGTTTTGTTGTGCCACTATTTTAGAGATGGTACGGTAATTGTCTCTCCCTGGGTACCAGGCCACAGGTCTCCAGAGTATCAGAGCACATGTGTTACCATGGGCTCACGTGGTACCACAGAGGAGTGTCTGTAGTGTGCTGTCACTATGGATGGTTGGGAAGGTGCAGAACACTTCCTAGATGGGAGTTTTGTTGTACCTGGTACCAAAGGGTTTCTCTGTTCCGCTCTTGTAGAGATAAAAAGAAAAGGAGTACTTATGGCACCTTAGAGACTAACATATTTATTTGAGCATAAGCTTTCGTGAGCTACAGCTCACTTCATCGGATGCATACGGTAATTGTCCCCTCTCCTTAGGGGGTGGTACCCTTGCCTGAGAGCCTGACTGTGGAAGCCCCTGGAGTGGGGACAGTGCCAGAGCAGAGCTCAGAGCAGGGCAGAGCTTACAGCAGGAGACCCCTTCTCAGGTTCCTGCTTCAGAGCTGTGATGCCGAGGGTGCCCTCCTGCAGCAGAGCTCACAGCAGGAGGTCCCTCTGCTGGTATCTCCTACTGAGGTGGCAGCTCTGGGGAGCCCCACTGGCTGGCCAGCTACTCGGAACCATGTGTTGGGATCAGTGCCAAGATGGCTGCACTGGGGAACCCCTCTGGCTGGCCAGTTGCTCAGAGGAGTCCTTTTTACCAGCCTTTCCAGGGGGAGTCTGCTGGTGGCTTTGTCTTTCTTTCTTCTCTCTCTTCTTCTCCTCTCCTCTTCACGACTCAACCCCTTTTGAAGTGAAGGCTCTGGGGATGATCCGGGGTCAGCACCCACCGGAGTCCCCTGCAGACTGAAGTGTTTTCTCCACAGGGAGGAATTTTAACTTCAGCTCGCAGCTCCTATGAGGCTGCCATTTTAGATGTGGCAGGTAAAGCACTTCTGTGAAGGTCTCCCAGGCACAGTGAGTGTCTGGCCATTACAGGAACTGACTCCTGGCAGGAGAGGCATGGCTTGGAGCAGAGAGAGCCAGGCAAGCCCCTGGGCATGGGGTTGTCATCCTCTAGCAGAGAAGAATGCAGAAGAACGTCTTTACTTTTTTCTTTTTTTTTAAACTGGAAAAAAAATTGAATCTACTAGATGCCTGGGGGTGGGGGGGAGGAATGCCCCCAGACAGGGCAGGAAAGTGAATTTCTTTTCCTTTCTCTCTCTCTCTCTTTTTTTTTTAAACCCAAAGGAATAAAATAAAATAAAGAAACACTAGCCTAACTACTTTTAAGGAGAAGAAAGATAACAAAACAAACACTACTTATGCTAATGACACAGATGAGGAAGGGACAACTGCTCATTCCCTCAGAGGCCAAAGGCAGTAGAGAAGGAAGTGAGGGGGGTTCCCCCCCTTGCAGTGCTAAATAGCAGGGAGGGAGAGCACATGCCCGGGCTCTACCAAAAATCTCTGATTAGAGGTGCTGGGCACACAGACACCTAAAGTGATGCACCCAAAGGGACACTACTCGAAGAAGAACAGAACGTTCCAAAATATCACATTCCTCAACTATGAAAAGAATAGCTGTATATTAGTAAGAGAGTGACAGTCAAGTTTATTCTCCTCTAATTCTCTGACTAATTATGACTCATTTTTATAGTTTGATTTTTCAGAAACATACCTTGAAGTTTAAGGAGGTCAGAACGTTTTTCATCAACATCTGGTCTTTCAGCTTTCAGGACCTCATTCAGACACTGGCTCTGTAAACTACTGCGAGTTACTGTGAAATTGACAAATGTAACCCGAGAGCAGAGATCCGGGGGAAACTCAACCTATCAAAATAAATATCAGGATCATTTTGTTGGCTTAATACATGTTCTGCCCTGCTGAAAGCTAAACAAATTTGTACGAGTTCCTTACGGTTGGATCTCTGGTGGAGAGGAAGATGACAAAGGATGGTGACAAGTCAATATCTTGGTCTCCCAGGGTAATAAGCACTCGACCTCCAGTTCTCCGGACTTCACGATTCAGCACAGGATTCAGAACTGGGTCATAGCTCTCCACATCCTAAACAGCAATACAATTGAGAGTAATGAAGAGAACAGTAGCTAAATGGACCTGTGCTGGAACAAGCTTGAATAAAGTTTGATCTGGATCACATATTTTCCCCGGCTTGGGAAAAGCTCTAGTAGTAATCCACATGAAGTTTTGGTCATGTGCGTAACTGCTGATAGTCCAATGTTATTCCCCATACAATAAGCTATACACAGTTTAATTTTTACTATCAAATGCTATTCAGACATTTTGGATGATGGATTACATACCTAAGTAATAAGAAAAGGAGTACTTGTGGCACCTTAGAGACTAACCAATTTATTTGAGCATAAGCTTTCGTGAGCTACAGCTCACTTCATCGGATGCATACTCAAGTAATGTTTCAGTTTGGCTTTCTTAATGTTGCTGTTTTCTTGTGTAGATATCAGATTATAAGTAGCACCAAGAGGCCGCAATCAGAAGTGATGCTCCCATTGCTCCAAATATTAGACCTAAATCCTGCCTCAAACAGCTCACAATTTAAGAGCACAGGCAATAAGAGGGTGATGGAGACCAACACCTTTGGAAAGTAAATTAACCTGTGCCTCAGTTTTACCCATCTGTGCTATAGGGATAATATATCCTTATTTCTTAAGGTGTTGTGAGGTGCTTGGATACTACAAGAATGGGTACCATCTCTAGACAGATGTACTTTTATACATTTGCCTTATTTTTTGTATTTTCATCAAGCCAATTTGGCTTCTCCCATCTGCTCCAATCTAGCTATTTCAACACTGACTATTTACTGTAGACATCCATAGAAGTGAGTTTTAAGATTTTTTTTAAAAAACAGGAGCATTATAGATCAGTGTAGGGACTGTTCTACGCAGGAGGGATGGTGAGTGAAGAGTCACTGAAGGGGAGTGGACAAGCAGACTGGATAGTCAAATCACTGGTGAAGCGGAAGGGGCACAATAGGTGACAAATTATTAAGTAGCAAGGGGCACAGCTGAGAAAGGCCTTTAAATTTGACCTTGATATGGTAGGAGAGGGGGAGCAATGTAGTTAGAACAACAGGTAAGGGAGATGATCTTTGCTGCATTTTGATCCATTGTCTACACAAGGACCTTCATTTATTTAATTCCTGAAAAGCACAGAATTACCAGAGTAGCAATAAAACTAAGCCCCAGCAAGTGAAGATTTCAAGTGTACTTCCTGGGAAATGTAACCACAATTTTTTTTTTCTAATTTATGTAAACAAGAGACTAACCTGGACGAGTAGAGGGTTACCAAATCTCAATGCACTTTCCAAGTTCTTTCTGAAAGCATCATCCAAAAAGCTAGTACGAGTGATCTTATGGTCCTTGTATTCATTCATAATGAACTCTGTGGCTTGTCCAGAAGGATCAATGATCAGTGGATACCTACGTTAGTGAAAAAATATTTCCATTGTATGACTGATTTAAGGCTTCTGATACAAGGCATTTAGTCCACTCAGGTTGAGTTAATATTCTAAATCTTTTTTGGAGAATGTGGGCTCATGAAATGGAATATGGAGGATCACTGTCATTGTTTGGAGAAGATAACAGTTAATGATCTAATTAGATACAACTATCAAAAGGATACTTTAAGGTTTCAGTCAATACAGACTGACTAACAGCTTCAGTTTGAGCTAAGTTGGTATAATAGTGAAGTACACTAAAAATGCAAGTTGTTTTGCTTATAAACACAATGGAAAGAGATTATTAAGACTTGAATTTAATTTGCTATCATGGGTACTATGTAGATGCCGGACAGCGCTCAAAATCTCTCAAAGCATTTATATTCAGTTTGATGATAAAGTTTCAATCAAGTTTTCCTTTTGATAGGTGTGTGTAAATTCCATTGACTTCAGTGGGAGTTCTGTGCACCGATCCATTGTTAAGTTTATCCCCATACATTCTGTACTTATTGTACAAATGAAGTACCTATTAAACTGCTTAAGCATGATAGCGTTTTCTGTGCACAGGTCATCTGCAGGTAGAGAACTTGCTTGCCAGTGAAGACGCTCATCTGCATTGGAAAGGTATTCTGTCCTTGCAATGTCTGTACGGAACTGTAGAGTAAAACATTATTATTATTTGCCCAAAGAGAGCCCAAAGTTTGATCAAATTTGATCTTTATCTTTTGTGAAAACCTTGTGATTTCTCATTTATGAAGCAGTAATTCATTACAATATATGTTAACACGTGTGGTAGTCATGACATTAGTAATTGTGGATCAATCTTTACCTGGATATTTGCTTGCTGCAAGTGATGGGACCATGTAGTGAACAGGTTCTGTCGCATCTGCTGGTCAAAGTAACCAGCATAAGCAATAAAAGCCCCTGAAAGCAAACAGTCTCCTGCAATAGCAGACATCTGGTTCTTGAAGGTTTCACTTGTCTTCTCCCATCTTTCACGTTCGGCAGACAGACTTTTCAAGAGAGCTGTGCTACGGTTTACCTAGAAATTAAGGAATGGTCAATATAATATATATCTTTATTCAAAATGAAGGCTCCCATAATTATCGCATTTGCAACCTATATGGAGAAACAAGTTTGCCCAATACACCAGACTTTGGACCCAAATTTTCAGAATTACGTATGTCCAGAAAACAACTATGAGTGCATATACAACTCCGGAAGTTTGGTTGTTAGTATTCTTGGGCTGTGAATTTTACAGTTCTGGTAGTGGAAAGGGACAGAAGGGTTGCAAGCATTTTGGAGAACAGGATTAGAATTCAAAATGATCTTGACAAATTGGAGAATTGATCTGAATTCAACAAGTGAAATTCAGGAAGGGGGAAGGAGAAAAAAATCAAATGCAAAACAACTGCAGAACAGGCTAGGACAACTGGCTAGGACAGGGGTGGCCAACCTGAGCCTGAGAAGGAGCCAGAATTTACCAATGTACATTGCCAAAGAGCCACAGTAATACATCAGCAGGCCCCCGGCCCCCATGAGCTCTCCCCTCACCCCCCGCTCCCAGTGCCTCCTGCCCACTGGCAGTCCTGTGGATCAGCGCCTCCCCAATCAGCTGTTTTGTGGCATGCAGGAGGCTCTGGGGGAGAGGGGGAAGGAGTGAGGGCACGGCAGGCTCAGAGGAGGGGGTGGGAATGGGTGGAGTGGGGGCAGGGCCTGTGGCGGAGCCAGGGGTTAAGCAGTGAGCACCCCCTGACACACTGGAAATTTGGCGCCTGTAGCTCTAGGCTGGAGTTGGTGCCTATACAAGGAGCCGCATATTAACTTCTGAAGAGCCATATGGGGCTCCGCAGCTACAAGTTGGCCACCCCTGGGCTAGGATCTAGCTCAGAGGTGGGCAAACTATGGCCTGCGGGCCACATCTGGCCCACGGGACTGTCCTGCCCGGCCCCCGAGCTCGTGGACGGAGAGGCTACCTCGGCCTCTCCCCTGCTGTTCCCACTCCCCCACAGCCACGCCGCCAGTGCTCTGGGCGGCGGGGTTGCACGCTCCTCCAGGGCAGCATATCTGGCTCCAGCTGGGTGGCGCAGCTGCCAGACATATTGCTCTGAGCAGCATGGTAAGGGTGCCAGGGCTCGGGGCCAGGGGATAAGGGGCAGGGGTTCCCGGGGGGCAGTCAGGGGACAGGGAGTAGCGGGTGGTTGGATAAGTGTGGGAGTCCCGGGGGGCCTATCAGGGGGCGGAGGTATGGATAGGGGTTGGGGCAGTCAGAGGACAGGGAGCGGGGGCGGGGTTGGATGGGGTGAGGTCCTGTGGGGGCGGTTAGGGGGCAGGGGTGTGGATAGGGGGCGGGGCAGTCAGGAGACAGGGGGGTTGGATAGGGGGTGGGGTCTCAGGGGGGGCAGTTAGGGGCGGGGGGGTCCCGGGAGGGGGCGGTCAGGGGACAAGGAGCAGGGGGGTTGGATGTGTAGGGGATTCTGAGGGGGGCAGTCAGGGAGCAGGAAGTGGAAGGGGGTTGGATGGGGGCAGGGGCCAGGCTGTTTGGGGAGGCACAGCCTTCCCTACCCAGCCCTCCATACAGTTTTGCAACCCCGATGTGGCCCTTGGGCCAAAAAGTTTGCCCATCCCGATCTAGCTGGCTAGGCTGAAGAGGATCTGGGGGTTATAGTGGATCACAAACTGAGTCTGAGTGAACAATGTGATGGAGCTGCAAAAACGGCTACTATTCTGGAACGTATTAACAGGAGTGTTTTAAGTAAGACACAAGAGGTACTGGTCCCAATCTATACAGCAATCAGGGCTCAGCTGGATTACTGTGTCCAGTTCTGGATACCACACTTCAGGAAAGATGTGGACAGGTTGGAGAGTTTCCAGAGAAGGACAACAAAAATGATTATATGTTTAGAAAACCTGACCTACGGAAAAGATTAAAAAATTGGGCATGTTTAGTCTCGAGAAAAGACAACCACGGGGAGAGTCTTCCAATATGTTAAGTGCTGTTCTAAAGAGGACTGATCAATTGTTCTCCATGTCCACTTAAGGTAGGATAAGAAGTAAGGGGTTTAATCTGCAGCAAGGGAAATAGAGATTAGATATGAGGAAAAGCTTTCCAACTACAAGGAGTAGTTAAGCACTGGAATAGGCTTCCAAGGGAGATTGTGAAATTCCCATCATTGGACGTTTTAAAAAACAGATTGGACAGACACCTGTCAAGGATGAACTAGGTTTATTTTACCTTGCTGCAGCACAGGGGGCTGGACTCGAGTTCCCTTTCAGCCCTACATTTCTATGATTCCATCAGTGCAGCTCAAGGAACCAAAAAATAAGAGGACATTTGTATGGACTGTTTGACCTGACTTCACTAGACTTGTCTAAAGAGAACATTAATATAACAGTTACCCTGCAAGATAGTTTTAAAATATGAGAAAAGGCAGACACTCAACTTTTTGTTAAAAGCATTAAGTAATCAAAATTCCTCTGAAACACATTTGAGACTTACAGAATTGATCAGTCTAATGGGTGAATTTTGTGCTTGTGAAAAAGGACTGGTTTTACCTATGCTAGCTTTCCTTGGTTTTGAGTAACATCCCACCTGCTAGCCTCGTCCTGATCAGACAGATTGCCAACTTAATTGGGTGGCCAGCATGAGGCAGTGATTGGAAGAGTAATCCTCACTCTGGTCTGTTTATCAATGATCTGCAAAGCTCTTTGTAAAAAGTCCAAAGGATGAAACATACTGAAAGACAAACTGTTGTGTAGAGAGGCCATTAAAGCCTTTTGTTTTAGAAAGGTATATAGAATGTTTGAAAGCCACTACTCCCACCCCCTGAAACATCAAAGAGAAGCCAATAAAATGGACAAATGGTACATTAAGTATTCTCACTTTTGCTTCAACTGCAGTCAGGTCTGCCTTAATTGCTTGAGCCTCTGAAATCAGCACTGCGTACTCTTCCTTGTAGAGAGCAATACTGGCCTCGAGATGACGAATCATCTGTTCTACCTCATTAGCTTTCTGTTGATTGTCTTTGGCATCATCCTCCAGTTTCTGTAGTTCATTGCGGAGAGGTTCTACTCGTTTCAACATATCCGCATAATTCAGCTGTGAAACATGTGAACAGTCAGTTCTAGATACTTTCTAGAATGGAATTTACCACGTGACTTGGGACCATGTAAATCAGCAAGCATAGTTTTTTATGGATTGAGGGCACCCCTCAGGATTTTAGGTATTCAGGATTTCATTTTAAAAAGTTTAATTTTCTAGTCTTCTGCTTAAACTGATTCACTATTCTGAGTCTGCAGGTCGCCTGAAACAGCCAAGAGGTGTGGACTGCACTATTCATCTCACTGAAGTGAGACTGAAGTTCTTTGGGAAGCCTCCAGATTTTGATCAAATTTCAAATTAAATCATGCAGTGCAGAGACAATTGCCCGTGATGCCAGAGCTCTCTCTCAGGGCGTGTAGGATGAAGGCAGGGGAGACACTGCAATGAGTCTGGAAGGCTAGAAGAGGGAAACTTACCCTTTTGGGGTAAATACCAAATTAGCGTTTCCTTTTCCCTGCACACTGGGATTAGCCTGCCCCTGCCCCCACTGAAGGAGCCCTCCTGTTTTCCCATAACAGCA